GGTCGGGATAGGCAGAATTTACACCTACAGGTCGCAATAGACAGAACACACACCTTCAGGTCGGGATAGACAGAATCCACGCTTACAGGTCGGGATAGACAGAATACATACCTACAGTTCGGAATAGACAGAATACACCTACAAATTTGGATAGACCTAATACAAAGTACAGGTCGGGATAGACAGAATACACACCTACAGGTCGGGATAGACAGAATACACACCTACAGATCGGGATAAACAGAATACACACCTCCAGGTCGGGATAGACATAATACACACCTACAAGTCGGGATAGGCAGAATTTACACCTACAGGTCGCAATAGACAGAACACACACCTTCAGGTCGGGATAGACAGAATACACCTACAAATTTGGATAGACCTAATACAAAGTACAGGTCGGGATAGACAGAATACACCCCTACAGGTCGGGATAGACAGAATACACACTTACAGATCGGGATAGACAGAATACATACCTACAGGTCGGGATAGACAGAAAATGTAGACAGAATATACACCTACAGGTCGGTATAGACAGAATACACACCTACAGGCCGGTATAGACAGAATACACACCTGCTGGTCGGGATGGACAGAATACACGCCTACAGGTCGGGATAGACAGAATACACGATTACAGGTCGGGATAGACAGGATACTCACCTACAGGTCGGGATAGACAGAATACACACCTTCAGATTGGTATAGACATAATATACATCTACAGGTCGGCATAGACAGAATACACACATACAGGTCGGGATAGACAGAATACACACCTACAGGTCGGTATAGACAGAATACACACATACAGGTCGGGAATTTACAGGTAATAATACATCTAGAATACACGCTCACATGTTGAGAATAATACATCTAGATTACACATATTCAGGTCGGCATAGACAGAACACACCTACAAATTTGGATAGACCTAATACAAAGTACAGGTCGGGATGGACAGAATACACCCCTACAGGTCGGGATAGACAGAATACACACTTACAGGTCGGGATAGACAGAATACATACCTACAGGTCGGGATAGACAGAAAACGTAGACAGAATACACGCATACAGGTCGGGATAGACAGAATACACGATTACAGGTCGGGATAGACAGGATACTCACCTTCAGGTCGGGATAGACAGAATACACACCTTCAGATTGGTATAGACATAACATACATCTACAGGTCGGCATAGACAGAATACACACATACAGGTCGGGATAGACAGAACACACGCTTACAGGTCGGGAATAATACATCTAGAATACACGCTCACATGTTGAGAATAATACATCTAGATTACACATATTCAGGTCGGCATAGACAGAACACACCTACAAATTTGGATAGACCTAATACAAAGTACAGGTCGGGATAGGCATAATACACCCCTACACCTTTAATACTAAACTTTATGTATTAATATATGCTTTCCTTTTATTCCTTTCCTTCTATGAATCTTTCAGTTCAAACCACCAAAACGCAAAAATAATGTTATTTGTCTTTAAATAGTTTATCATTTTAAAATGTCATTTTTCTTTCAAAAAAGAAAATTGAACCCTGTTTGTCTCTTAGAGTTATTATTTATCTTAAAGAATTTCCACTGTAAGTTTAACACAAGGGATCGTCCAGTGTCTTCTGATCACTTTGGATTTGCCTTAGTCGCATCTCGGGTGTCCAATTTTAGCCCCTTAATATTACTGGCGAGAGGAATAAGTGTGAAACTGTTGTCAGGTTCAGGTGATTCATTATTTGGCTCTGCTGTATTTAACTTTCTTATAAGGATAGAGTGACGTCTGAAAGCTTTCTTTTGGAGCAGGGAACACGCCCTTCATCCAATTTCTTTCTTTCTAGTTTGCTGTTTAACGTCCGTATTCCGGTTATAACCGAGCCTAGGACACTCTCACCATGCAACCATTTGTATATTTCTTATATGGGTCTATAAAGTCGTCGGTGTGGGCAGAGACGTATATATCACATGTCTCTGGTGTCGGTATACATTTATTTGCAAACATGGTACATAGTTTCACTTCAAATTCACATCAACTTGTCGTGAGTTATTCATGTTTAAAATAACAGATTACGTAGCAATATTTTCACGAAAAGGTTGAAATATGGTGAGATTTTCAAGATATTTGGTTCATTTGCATCTGTATTTATTTCTACGGAATACCTTGGGTTACGTCCCCTTAGCGCTAGTGGAGTAGTAGACAAGTGAATGCACGGGTAGAATGGGGTCAGTCATGGATGAGTGATTTTATCAGACTTTAACTCGGAGATCCGTCCAGTCATGCTTATATAGGTATCTGTTGTAGCTAAAATATATGTTACACATCTGTTAGTCTGTAACTGTACGGTACAGAATGGATACATTTTGTATTTAAATCCGTGATAGCATAAATATCCATGTTCAAAATCACAAACAAAAATAACCACCTCCATGATTATCATAAAAATGAGGTGAGAAAGTTGACTGCCCTGGAGTGTATAGCAATAAGTACATATATCCTTAACACGGATAAACTTAGTGATGATGAGCCAAGTGGTATATGGGCCATTTCAGGATGGCGTAGACAAACGTCTGAAATATGACTTGTGCACAGACGATGACAATATTGTAAGAAAATTATTACTCTGTGTTCATGGGAGGGGATATAAATAGCCATGGTATATAATGTATTTGTCAATATAGAAACACTTACTTGAGTTACTCAATATCTCCTTACATATCTATATAGGTATACAAAGGTGTGTGCACTTGACTGTATCTTTATTAAAGTTGGATATGGAATAAATTTCGACTGAAAAGATGTTCTGTATAACCATGCACAGTAAAACAATTTTCAATACGGCCATTACCTAGGGATCACTTCGTCCGATAGTTATTGACACCAGAGACATATAGAAATATGGATATCAATGGAGAAATGATTGAAAAACAAGGCAATATACTATTTCACATAAGTTTTTTCTTACCTGGATGATTACCTATATTTACCCGTGTTTCTCACAACCTATCTCCACATGGTTGAGATATTAAACTGAATACATAGATTTTATTTGATGAAAAATATTGACTTCATTCAACACTAAAACATATATAAATAGATAAAATTATTATGTTGGATGATTTAGCACTACACCTTAATATATTTCTAAAATCATTATAATATAAAAAGAAAAGCACTTGTAGCCAATAGATAAACAAATGAAAAAAAACAACATTAAATTAAACTCCAGTGATTGTTTTCATTCACATACTGAGTCCTATGTTTTGGTTATAGCTTTACCGCTATGTGGAAATGTCGTTTCTATCTAATCATTAATAATTACATATGGAATCCTTTATTTCGAATATATCAAATGTACTTTGAATAGAAAACGGTATGATTATTTACTATATATATATATATATATATATATATATATATATATATATATATATATATATATACGGCAGTCCATCTTAATGACTCATCGATATACGCACATTGATGCCGTGTTTACCTGTACAGCGTTGGGACTGTGAACTGAAATTATGTGCCATTTTCACCTAAAAATGATACAACTATTTTTTTATTGAAGTTTGTCAAAGCTATATCAATGTATTGGAAAGTTACTATACTTGATAGCCAGAGACATACATTTGGAGATTTATACAAAATATTGCTTTCATTTCTCGTTGAAGTTGTCAAAATAATCGCTTTGTTCAAAATTTGGTAAAACTATGAAGCAGATTCATGTGTGAGTTTCAAAATATTTAAAAATATTTTTTGTAACGAAGAAATGTTTAATTTACTGGTCAGGGGCATACATTTTGAATTTTTTATCAAAAAAAATATATCAATAAATGTTGATATTTTTCTGAAATGCCATTATATAATCTATAGTAAAAAATCGCTCACCTGGAGCGAGAAATCCGCGAATGCGCGAGGCGATATGTCCTCAGTAGCTGCATATGTACCGTTTGAAATCACCGATATTGAAGCAATATGCTCGCATCCCGTCATTTGCAATTCCGGGGGTGAGTTTTCAGAAAAATACATGGAAGATTTCGTTAAAGTTTCGAAAAAAACACTTTGACAAGGTAGATCTGTGTGATTCGAGGAGAATGATTTTCACGAGGAACGTTTAATATCACGAACTTGCCTTAGAATAACTTGACCATTTCGCCTTAGCTTAAAGCTGCTTTTAAAGGATTTACATTTGATTGTTTTTGATCATTTATGATTATTATCATTATTTTTTTCTTCCACTTTCCTCCGCCGGCGATGTTTCTAATCGCGACACGTTTCTCTAAACCTGTTGGATGGAACCGAACGAAACTTGACATGAGTGTTCGTGTTGAGAGGCGGAATGCTGGAGCGTTTTCTTTCTTCGATCGGTCAGATGACCGGTCAACCGTGTCTTGATTAGCCAAAATTTCCATATCGCCCGATTTCCATAAAACAGGTTACTATGCGTTATTTTACACCAGAAACACAATTGTGACTTTCGTTTACTGATTGTACAAGGTGACCGTCAATTAGAGATTTCTAATTTGCTTAAATTTAGACATCGTCTGATTTCCACGAAAATTGGCATTGGTGTGGTTTTACCGAGATCTACATAAAACGTTTTCGATATTTGAATAAGGGACTTTGGCGTCCATTGGCCGAAGAGATTATCGAGACACCTAAATGTACACTGCCCTCGCTTTTAGTTTATCACGTTGTATCATGTTCTATGTACGTTATTGAATTGATATGATACTTGTGTCTTGATAAAGCGGCAGATTGTCTCGGAGATTTGGCAAATCACTTATCCGTACTGTCGTTATTCCTTCACTTATCATACATATACCGGACTGTGCCGATAGGTACCGGGCTGAAATTAGTATAACCATACCGGAAATGATTGTACGCAGAACCGGGTAAAAACCACACGTGTGTTTGACATCAAGGTTGCAAACAGAAATGTCGTGGTTGTTTGGAACTGGAAAACCGGCTCCACCTGGGCCAGGTGGTTTGCCCCCTCCTAATCAAGGGATGGGTGGCATGCCACCAGAAAATCCAGGATCTAATGACACACAATCATCGGGGCGAAAAGGAGGAAAAATGGAGAAATATTCATTCGATTCGACTGCCCTCGAAAGAGCAGCGCAAGCTGCAAAGGACCTAGAGAAATCGGGTGAGAAAACAATGCAATGTGTAAACAAATGAAATTTCAGTTTATAATCAATAAACTCTACAGTGCCTGCTTGATACTGTAATTGACGGACAAAATGTGTCGTTTGCATAGGACCAAGTTTCCTTACGTAAGTTTTCTGATGCAATTTTTTCGTATATACTTACTTACGTGAGTAGCGGCACGTCTACATACCCAATACTCCCCAATGCTAACTCAATACTCTATAATTCTAACTCAGTACTAAATACTGACTCAAAACTGTCCAATACTAACTCAATACTGTCCAATACTAGCTCAATAGTACTCAATGCTAACGCAATACTAACTCGATACTGCCCAATACTAGCTCAATACTGTCCAATACTAACCCAATACTGTCCAATACTAACTCAATAGTACACAATGCTAACTCAATACTGTATAATTCTAACTCAGTACTAAATACTGACTCAATACTGTCCAATACTAACTCAATGCTGTCCAATACTAGCTCAATAGTACACAATGCTAACCCAATACTAACTCAATACTAAACTAATATTATCTAAAACTATGCAATACTACTCTACCGATATCTGGTTTACTGAATTGAAGTTACAATACAGAACCAAAACGGAGGAAAATTAGACTTGCTGTCATAAGCCTATTCAGTGTTGGATTTTTTGCTAGTGATTACCAACAAAATGACCTGAATCTGACTTTTATCAAGGAAACGAAACCACTAGAATAATATTTGGCATTCAATTAGGTTATGTTTAGAAAATTTAGGTTGTACTTAACTGACAAATATTTCAAATTATTATATTAAATAACCACACTCAAGGTTCAGCTTTTACCTTTACTTTTATGGGTCTGGATGAAAGTAAAGAATCAGGAATTGTTTATGTACTGTACCTGCCGATCTTTTTGAAAATTTGCAATTGAATTTGACAGCATTATTCATTGTAATCCATTATTGGGTGTAAGTGATTATTGACTCAAAAATATATATAAATCTTGCGTCATTTTTACACATGCAATAGCCATTCATATAACACCAAGGCAATGGCAAATTGTTTGCATAACTTTTCTGCGTTATTAGATTTAGGAAGTAGTTATGGCAGAGTTTTCCATAATTTTGTTAGTAGTAGGCTGTGTAGTGAAAGTAGGAGGCTGGCCTGCCGTGTACGTGTAGTCGTGTACGGAACATTATTACGGAACTGGATTGGTGTAGGCGACCAAAAGATCAAAGTAGCCGGTCAAATTGGCAGGCGACTGGCTCTTATGGAAAACCCTGTATGGCTCATTCAGTTAAGTTCAGATGTATGCAAATTTATTTTAAGCTTGGTATATGGTAGATATTTGTTTATAAGTGAAAAACAATGGGTTAAACTGGTTTCTTTCTGCTATTTTTTAACAGCACATGCTAGTGAAGCGTTACAATTGTCCAGGATGCAAGAAGAGACCAAACAGTTGGAACAAAAGAGTAAAATGAAGGTACTGACTGCACCAAGAGCCTATTTGAATGTGTTATGATTAAGTTATTTAAATTGTACATTTGAATACAGAATTTGTTTGATTCCATGTTAGCTCACCTGACCAGAATGGCTGAGTGAGCTTATGGCTTACTGCATCATTCGTCAATCTGTCGTCGATCTTTTTCTACTTTTTGTTTTTTTTCATATCGCTGCTAGTCATGAACCACCATGTGGACTTTGACTAAATTTGGTCAGAAGAATCCTTTGGGGAAGGATAAAAAATTTGGTGTAAGTGGTTGATCTCCGCCCCCTTGAGGGAGGAGTGGTGGGACCCGAGATGGGAAATTTTACAAGTTCTTTAAAATCTTGCTTCTCCAGTAGTAATGATTGGATTGTGCTCAGATTTGGCTTGAAGCATTCTTGGGTGAAGGGAAATCAGTTTTGTATAAATAGTGGGTCTCTACCCATTAGGATGATTTAGTGGAGCCAAATATGGGAATGAGAACAAATTCTTAAAATATCCAGGTACTACCCAACCTGTAGCAGTGATTAGATTTTGTACAAAATTCCTTGGTGAAGGGGAATCAGTTTTGTATAAACGTTTGGTCTGTGCCCTTTTGACTGGAAGAGCAGGGCAAAATAGGAGAAATAGAGCAAAGTTTTACTCTCCCTATTGGAATGATTGGATTCTGTCTCCATTTAGTCTAAAGCATGAATGGTTTGGCTGACTTCATAAGGACAGAGGGTTGGGGCCTAATGGGCAAATAGATATGTTGTGTGTTATATGCTTGGATATTTAGAATTCCCTTTCCTTTAGTTTTGATGAAGCAATTTCAACCAGGGAATGTCAGGTGAGAAATACCAGCCGTATGGGTCTCTCGTTTAAAGAATTGCATAACAACTTTGTTTTCCACTTTTTAAATTCAGGAATCAGAAACTATAAAAGAACAATTGAGAATTGAGTATGTTCGTACATCAGAAGAAGAGAAGAGAAAGACATATGGCGAGCAAGCAAAACATCATAAAAATAAAGCAGATTATGAAGACAGATTAGCACGACAGCGATACACAGATCAGCTGGCACAAAAGGTTTGTGAATGGAAAATTTCCATTTAGTTTAATCAGTAGGAATTAACTATACCGAAATCAACAACAATCAGTGTTCTAACAAGTCATAAGTGTCTTAAGAGTCATAAGTGTCTTAACAATAGTCTTAAGTGTCTTATCAGTCATAAGTCTCTTAATAGTCATAAGTGTCTTAAGAACAGTCTTAGTCTTAACAAGTCATAAATGTCATAACAACAGTCCTAGCCTTTACAACAGTTATAGTCTTGACAAAAGTCTTAGTCTAATGAACAGTCATAAATGTCTAAATAGCATTCACAAATGTCTTAACAGTTATTAATGTCTTAACAAGTCTTAAGCATCTTAGCAACAGCAGTAGGTGTCTTAATTTACACAAAATATTAATGATGTACAAAAACAGGAAAGAAAATTCTAACATGTTTACAGAATCTCATGCAAATATAAAGTCCATGAAACTGGTGCAATAAGAACAAAAGCAGGGTTCTAGGCTCAAAGACTTCTGTATAATGTATCTGGAAAGGGGTCATATTTGATTACCTCATTAGAACGTTGACATTGATGTACTTTTGACCAAGAGCATTCATGTACAGAAATTTTCTGGTCTTACAAACAGAATAAACCTCCAACTTTTCAGGGATAAGATTTTATTCATCCAACAGTTTAAGAATAAGTGTAATTAATTTTACAGGGAAAACAGGAAGAAGATATGCGAGCAAGGAATGAGGCCTCCATAGCCAAACAAGAACAATTGAAAAAAAGTAAGAGGATTTTTTATAACAGGTAGAATTTTTCAGTCACCTGAGATGAAGTCTCAAGTGAGCTATTTTGATTGCCTTTGTTCGGCATTGTGCATCTTCCATCATAGACAACTGACATTTTCAACTTCTTCTTATTAACCAAAAGGCCCAGAATGCTGATATTGGGGCTGGAACATGTTCGAATGAAGGGCTACCAAGTTTGTGAAAATGAATGACCTTGACCCTCTTTGAAGGTCACAGGGATAAAATATTTGGTTTGAATTGTTGGGAAGTGATTTGATCATAATGTTTGGTTGACCTTAGAGAACTGATGATTAATTACAGTATTGGTTAAGTAAATATTTGTAATAAGATTTAAATGTATTGTTAAATGTCTCCATTGAGAATTCTTCCTTTTTTATAACCCATATCCACTAATTATGGATGAGCACTGTGATAAATAGTTAGCAAGTTAAGACTAATCAGCTTTGATATCATGTAAACAAATTTTACTGAATTTTTCAGATGTTTGCATGTTAAGTGTCAAAGGATTGTGTATAAATGGGATTATGCGTCAAAGGATGGTGTATAAATGGGAATTTTACTGTAAATCGTTACGGACATTTCAAATTTTGATACACAGTTGTTCATTGCAAATTTATTCAGTATTTGGCTTATAAAATCTCTTTTTGTCAATTTATACTGTAGAAAATTTCCATTGTGTTTTCTTTTTGCAACCCTCTCATGCAATACATTGGAAAGGTGAAAGTTTTAATATAGTGAATATATGTATTTAATCAATCATTTTATTTCAGAAACTCTGGATTATGAATATGAACTGCAACATAAAAATGATATGGCACGTATTCAGGCTGAAATCAAAGGAAAGGCTAAAGCTGACAGAGAAAACCAGGACCTTATCAAAGAACAGTTACGCATCAAAGGCCAGGAACATCGGCAGACTGTGCTCGAGTCCATTAAGTAAGTCATTGTCCAATTGACCCTCCCAACTGACAGATCTTGAAGCATTGAGGCATCAGATTCGAATGAATTATGTTGTCTAACATATTACTAAGGAAACCTTGAGCATACCCAACTTTGTGTTTCCTGATTCATATGAATTGCTTCAAAAGAAAGGGTTTTTGTGTGATTTTTGTTTTCCCTTTGTCGGAATAGTGGAAGTAAGATAATCTTGAGGTCTGACTGGCGATGTTGAACTACAGTTAAGACCAGACTTTTCAGTAAAACATGGTATTAAGGCAATGTTTGTTCACCGGAATGACTGTTATCATTATTAGTGTAAATAATTATAATTAGTATAAATTTTAAAATAAGTGTGTGGGCTACAGATACACCCATTTTGTATATAATAGCAAAATACCAAAAATATGTGTATATTTTGTAGAATAATTGTTGTATATGTTGTATTGTGGACTGTTTCATTCCACACCACCCTTGCATTGTTGAGCTCGTCCATGGTTACAATATACACTACACAACAATCTCAGGGGGTTTGGCCATCACTCTGTATGTGTGGATTTCTGTAAAATTCAATCAGGGCAAATCTTTTGCTGGTTACCTGGTCTTGACACACATTTCTGTATAAAGGGCCATAACTCTGTAGCATTGCCATTGTGTGTTGTCAGGCGTAATGTGCACTGTCTGCCGTATGTCATCTACTGTCAGTAAACTTCAAAGCACTGGTCCCGCTTAATCACTGAGTGGATTTCAACCAGATTTGGTCTGAAACATCATTAGGGGTGCTTCAAAACACTACTCCTTCCTTAATGTTTTCACCCAAATTTGGTCTGAAACAACATGGGGGGTGGAGAATCATTTCCTAAATTTAAAAAGTTGATTTGATATAGGGACATAGGGGCAGGGCCCCAAGAGCGGAAGTTAGGTCAATATTTTGCTTCAAAATACTACTCCTTAATGATTTCACCCAAATTTCGTCTGAAACTTTATTAAAGAGTGTTAATGCTACAAAGTGTGCATGATGTGAACATAATATTGTCCTGACTTAATCTTATGTTGAGGTTTCATCCAAAATCGAACTTAACTCATCTTGAACTAATAGCCTGAGCTGCTTTTAGTTTCATTCACACCATTGAGAAAAATGTTTGGAGTTTAATATTTTAAGGGGGAAAAAAATGATACGTTGTTATTTTCCAGCTTAGTCAAAACTTCAACATGGTAGGCACAATAGCAATTTTATAACATAATAAAGCAGCTGTTTTCCTTGAACAAAACCTATCATTTAGGAGTTTCTGGATCCTTTCATAGAATGTTCAAGATTTGAATTAATCAGATTTGTCAGACAACCATCATCACATTCTGTGGTCTGCCTATCCACCGATTGTCAGATGACCGTTAAGGGCCATGGCCCTCTTGTCATCGTTTTTATTTGAATAAGTTATAGCTTCTTATTTTACACCTTGGATGTTTTTAAAGATGTTTCTATGGATACAATGGAGGATTCTTATTGATGTTTTGCATATTTGAGAAAAAATGTTTTTTCACTGAAATATTATTTGTAGGACTGCAGGCTCTGTGTTAGGGACTGGCCTTCAGGCTTTCATCTCAGACTGGGACAAAGTTACAGCTACAGTAAGTACCTGGTATTACATCAGTATCTAGGGTCTACCATCACCAGGACAAAGTTACAGTAAGTACCTGGTATTACATCAGTATCTAGGGTCTACCATCACCAGGACAACGTTACAGCTACAGTAAGTACCTGGTATAACATCAGTATCTACGGTCTACCATCACCAGGACAAAGTTACAGCTACAGTAAGTACCTGGTATAACATCAGTATCTAGGGTCTACCATCACCAGGACAAAGTTACAGCTACAGTAAGTACCTGGTATAACATCAGTATCTAGGGTCTACCATCACCAGGACAAAGTTACAGCTACAGTAAGTACCTGGTATAACATCAGTATCTAGGGTCTACCATCACCAGGACAACGTTACAGTAAGTACCTGGTATTACATCAGTATCTAGGGTCTACCATCACCAGGACAACGTTACAGCTACAGTAAGTACCTGGTATAACATCAGTATCTAGGGTCTACCATCACCAGGACAATGTTACAGCTACAGTAAGTACCTGGTATAACATCAGTATCTAGGGTCTACCATCACCAGGACAAAGTTACAGCTACAGTAAGTACCTGGTATAACATCAGTATCTAGGGTCTACCATCACCAGGACAAAGTTACAGCTACAGTAAGTACCTGGTATAACATCAGTATCTAGGGTCTACCATCACCAGGACAACGTTACAGTAAGTACCTGGTATTACATCAGTATCTAGGATCTACCATCACCAGGACAACGTTACAGTAAGTACCTGGTATTACATTAGTATCTAGGGTCTACCATCACCAGGACAAAGTTACAGCTACAGTAAGTACCTGGTATTACATCAGTATCTAGGGTCTACCATCACCAGGACAAAGTTACAGTAAGTACCTGGTATTACATCAGTATCTAGGGTCTACCATCACCAGGACAAAGTTACAGCTACAGTAAGTACCTGGTATTACATCAGTATCTAGGGTCTACCATCACCAGGACAAAGTTACAGCAGTATCTAGGGTCTACCATCACCAGGACAAAGTTACAGCTGCAGTAAGTACCTGGTATTACATCAGTATCTAGGGTCTACCATCACCAGGACAAAGTTACAGTAAGTACCTGGTATTACATCAGTGTCTAGGGTCTACCATCATTTGGGCAAAGTTACAGTTATGGTAATGAATGTACCTATGATGCAATTTTATTTTAAGAAAATATTCAAAACAAGTTTTATTAATAAATTTACTAATCAAAGTGACATCACTGTAAAGCATTTTTCTCCTGATTTAAAAAAAAAAAAATCATATGTATTTATATATATCAAATGTATTACCTTACGAAAAATGACCAAATTCAGGGCCTTCAACTTCTTTAAGAATTATTGCCGTTTGATAAAATTCATGCCTAATTAAGTTGTTTATGGGGAGTATTCATCGGTTTTAAGTTGTTTTCTTGTCTGTAAACATTATACAAATGAAGGATTTTGATTTAGGCTGCTGGTTTGACATTATTGGCGGCAGGAGTGTACTCTGCTAAGCATGGGATAGGTGTGGCAGCCCGATTTGTTGAGGCCAGACTTGGCAAGCCATCTCTGGTTCGAGAAACATCTCGATTAACATTCACAGAAGCCTTTCAACACCCAATAAAGGTATAGATAACATTGATTATATGCTCGGGTGACCTGAGTATAGATATTTTGTGATCTTGTATCACAGTTGGGGAAGTGATGAGATTCAGAAAGCTGGTTTCTTCTTTCAATGCTTTAAAGACATCTCTAATTTTAAAACATTACTGAAAAGGTTTTTCCTTTTTTCTTATTTGTTGTCTTCCCAAAATATTGTTTATGCAAAAAAAGCAAAAGAAACAATTAATACATACTTTTCATATATTTTGAAGCTTTCGTTTGTAGACACCCTATGTCAAAATGAAAATTTTCTCATCAAATTGAATTCCACAGAACATTTTGAAGATAAGTTGTTTGAGAAAAAAGAACTATGTATCAAAAATTTGATATGTAAATCTACACTGTGGGTGTAAATTGAGAAATGAATTTCTTTCATGAAAATTGTTTATGACAACTTGTTTTTTTTCATTACAGACTGCGCGACGGTTATATACAAAGCCTGACGATGCTCTAAAAGGAATTATCCTAAAGGTGAGCTATAAATTCCTTGTTGGACAAAATGCATCCAATTACACTTCAAACACATCAAATTACAGGTATCACACAATACTTCAAACACATCAAATTACAGGTATCACACAATACTTCAAACACATCAAATTTCAGGTATCTCACAATACTTCACACATCAAATTACAGGTATCTCACAATACTTCACACATCAAATTACAGGTATCACACAATACTTCAAACACATCAAATTACAGGTATCACACAATGCTTCAAACACATCAAACTACAGGTATCACACAATACTTCAAACATCAAGTTACAGATATCAGACAACACTTCAAACACATCAAATTACAGGTATCACACAATACTTCAAACACATCAAATTACAGGTATCACACAATACTTCAAACACATTAGTTTACAGTATCACACAATACTTCAAACACATCAGATTACAGTATCACACAATACTTCAAACACATCAAATTATAGGTATCACACAATACTTCAAGCACATCAAATTACAGGTATCACACAATACTTCAAACACATCAAATTATAGGTATCACACAATACTTCAAGCACATCAAATTACAGGTATCACACAATACTTCAAAAACATCAAATTATAGGTATCACACAATACTTCAAGCACATCAAATTACAGGTATCACACAATACTTCAAACACATCAGGTTACAGGTATCACACAATACTTCAAGCACATCAAATTACAGATATCACACAATACTTCAAACACTATAGGTATCACACAATACTTCAAACACATCAAATTATAGGTATCACACAATACTTCAAGCACATCAAATTACAGGTATCACACAATACTTCAAACACATCAAATTATAGGTATCACACAATACTTCAAACACATCAGGTTACAGGTATCAAATTGATTATAAACTGCTGTCTCTTGCTTGATTGAAAACTTATAACTGAAAATTTAGATGACAAAAACATATATTTAGCCTTCCAAGTATTAGTAAACTCTGCTTTGCTGCATAAATGTGGTGTTTAAGTGACTATACATGTATGTTTTTTTTTTCCTTTTTCAGCCTGAGCTTGAAGAGCGTTTGCGAGATATTGCAATAGCGACCAAACACACAAAGCAAAATCAAGGATTTTATAGAAATATTCTAATGCATGGTCCTCCTGGTACTGGAAAAACTATGTTTGCCAAGGTAAGGTTTGATATAGACGGTGGAGGATAGGTAAGGTGTGAGTATAGCTGGTGGAGGACAGGTAAGGTTTGATATAGACGGTGGAGGATACATTGTGTATCAATATAAGTTTCATACTGATGGTCCCTGAATTACTACATATTAGGTGATCTAAGAGATAGGCAGCTCAGAATATACCGTCTAGGATATGCCTACTTTTTGTTATTATATGTAAAGTGTGTGCATGTTTATCCATTTATATATTTATCATTGATTTTTTTAGAAATTGAGAGATATCAGGAATATCATCAAATACTGATATACAGTGAAACCCACTTATGATATTTTTATTTTTGTGATTAGAATATTGTAATAATTGGTATATTATAATAACCGAGCGGACTATTTGGGTTAGATTAATATCCAAAACTATTACTAAATAAAACAGAGATGAAAAACAATGTAATATTAATCATTTGGATAATTGCATTATGTAACAATTAAAATCAACATAAATTATTACCTAAATCAATGCTGATCGATGTATATGTAATTATTGTAAGAACTTTTATATCTGAAACAAGATAATTTCTGCTTTCACTTTTGGTTTCAGGGCTCTCACACCCCATTTTGGGACTGGGGCCCGGGGTCCTTAGAATTGGGAAAAATAATGGTGTTTTCCTTAGAATTGGGAAAACTTGGAGTCTAAATTGGGAAAAAAGATACTATTTTGCATTGGGATGGCAGATCGAGAGCCCTGGGTTGAAATGAAGGCAGAGTTGATCTCTGTTATGCATGTTCAGTTAGGTATACATATAAAATTAATCATTATCATTGTATCAGTTATCATGATTTGCTGTTGTTGCTATATGTCACCTTGCTCCCATCAATAGTTTCACATCACTGTTTGAATTAAAACCTTTTACTGTTGTAGAGTCTTGCTAAACACTCTGGGATGGACTACGCCATTATGACAGGTGGTGATGTAGCGCCTATGGGAAAGGACGGAGTCACAGCAATGCACAAAACATTTGACTGGGCTAGCACGAGTAAAAGAGGGTATGTGCTATTATACTGTTACTGTTGCTGGGGGAAACTATTTACTATCTAATAGCCATGGTCAAAACAATACAAGTTTTTAACAATTTATTGAATGCATGATGATAGACAAATGAAATACTGTTGAATAGTCTTTAATGTCAGAGCCTAAATTTTCACCGTTATGTTGCATGGTAAATAGTGATAGGACGATACTCCGTCACAATATATTTTACAAAAGACTCGTAAAAGGGACTCAATAGTTAGATTTCGTCCTTTTTTCATGAATTTAATTTTCGTCAAGATTTTGAATAATTGTCTCATCCTTTCATACAGTACTTGTTTGTATATAATTCATATATATATATATATATTCTGTAATGAAGTTTGTTACAATAAACAATCTCACTGTCCTTACTGTTTTTTTTTCAGCTTACTGCTATTTGTAGATGAAGCTGATGCATTTTTAAGAAAGCGAAGCAAAGTAAGTATCATCAGATTATATTAAAGTAAAGACTGGCACATATCTGTGGTCACATTATCAGCCAACTTTCTGATGATGGTTGTCCGATCAAATCATGCTTCACCAGTTGTCTCCCTTACATCTGTTCTGTAGGAATACTGCACAGATTATTCTTGATTTCCATATAAGTAAGGTTCTCATTCTACTTGGTTCTTTGTGTTGCATAGGCAGAACAAATATAACCTATTTATCAAATGTTAATGTATAATTACTACAGATTTCAAGCGTGGTTTATGAATCATTTCAAACAAACATGTAGTAACGGGCCAAAGCTTTACTGAATTACTTTGCTATCTTGGGAAACAGAGAAAATAATTGTTATTTATAGTAACATGTTTTGAAACTTTTGTTGTTTTAGGAACATATAAGTGAAGATCTACGGGCAACATTGAATGCTTTTCTATATAGAACTGGGGAACAATCAACAAAGTAAGTAAAATAACTCAATCACTTTATCTGTCTGTAACACTGTATAGTACAGGTAATCACTTTATCTGTCTGTAACACTGTATAGTACAGGTAATCACTTTATCTAATCACTTTATCTACACTGTATAGTACAGTAACACTGTCTAGTACAGGTAATCACTTTATCTGTCTGTGTAACACTGTCTAGTACAGGTAATCACTTTATCTGTCTGTAACACTGTAGAGTACAGGTAATCACTTTATCTGTCTGTAACACTGTATAGTACAGGTAATCACTTTATCTGTCTGTAACACTGTATAGTACAGGTAATCACTTTATCTGTCTACAGGTAACACTTTATCTGTAACACTGTATAGTACAGTAATACTTTATCTGTACAGGTAATCACTTTATCTGTCTGTAACACTGTATAGTACAGGTAATCACTTTATCTGTCTGTAACACTGTATAGTACAGGTAATCACTTTATCTGTCTGTAACACTGTATAGTACAGGTAATCACTTTATCTGTCTGTAACACTGTATAGTACAGGTAATCACTTTATCTGTCTGTAACACTGTATAGTACAGGTAATCACTTTATCTGTCTGTAACACTGTATAGTACAGGTAATCACTTTATCTGTCTGTAACACTGTATAGTACAGGTAATCACTTTATCTGTCTGTAACACTGTATAGTACAGGTAATCACTTTATCTGTCTGTAACACTGTATAGTACAGGTAATCACTTTATCTGTCTGTAACACTGTATAGTACAGGTAATCACTTTATCTGTGTAACACAGGTAATCACTTTATCTGTCTGTACAGGTAATCACTTTATCTGTCTGTAACACTGTATAGTACAGGTAATCACTTTATCTGTCTGTAACACTGTAGAGTACAGGTAATCACTTTATCTGTGTAACACTGTATAGTACAGGTAATCACTTTATCTGTCTGTAACACTGTATAGTACAGGTAATCACTTTATCTGTCTGTAACACTGTATAGTACAGGTAATCACTTTATCTGTCTGTAACACTGTATAGTACAGGTAATCACTTTATCTGTCTGTAACACTGTATAGTACAGGTAATCACTTTATCTGTCTGTAACACTGTATATTACAGGTAATCACTTAATCTGTCTGTAACACTGTATAGTACAGGTAATCACTTTATCTGTCTGTAACACTGTATAGTACAGGTAATCACGTCTGTGAACACTATAGTTCAAATAATCACTTAATGATGTCTTGAGAATCAATATGATATCTAGAGAACCTCTCAACAGCTTTGGTTCATATTTACTCTCTGGTATGACAAAAGTTCTTTACCTGAATAGATTTTGTTTTTGATAGGAACGTGACGTTCTCTAGTTTCATTGTTTACATGCAAGTTTAGCTGATGTTGGGTCTAAATCTTTACCTTACCTTCTTCAAATCTAACAAGTTAGATAAAAAAATGAGAGAGTTTGTCTTTACCAAGTTGGACATCATTATTTGAATTCAAAGGTTTTTATCTCAAAAATAAGAGAATGACATAGATGTAGAAGAAAAGAATGGCCTGAATTCTTTTCATCACCCTCCTGTGTTTTACGTTGATGTTAAATTAAAAAGTGGTATGTATTATTTCAGATTTATGTTAGTGTTAGCAAGTAATCAACCTGAACAATTTGATTGGGCCATAAACGACAGACTGGATGAGATGGTGGAATTTCAGTCCCCAACACTCGGAGAACGAGAACGTCTAGTGCGACGTTATTTTGACCTCTACTGTTTAGTACCAGCCACAGAGAAACGAGGGTAGGTTCCATGTCGTGATCATATATCCTGATATCTTATCCAATAGTAAAAGTTGAAATGTTTTATAAGTGGAAAGTAATAACAAGCCCAATTTTCAACAAGACAACTGTGATTTGATTGAAAAGGTAGAAGATCCTTCACCAAAACCTCAGTTGGTTGTCTTATTTTGAATGTTTCTGGTGTCATGAATCTGGAGCAAGGTAAAACAATTTTCGGAAATTATGCACAAAAAATGGTACAAAATTATTGTGGTTTTGTTTGTTGAAACCTATAAGAGTTTGTTTATGGATAACCCTATTGCATTTTAAAATTTGCAGCAGTATATCATGAATATACCCTCTGTTTTCCAAAAATCAATTCACTCCAGAATTATTACTGTTTACTGCTGCAAGTTTAAAATTGTGGTAGGGTTATATATACAGGTAGAATTACTATGATGAGAATTAGCTAAACTATCCTTAGGGTTATGGGTCCAGTATTACAAGTCATTATGTTACACTGCATACTACACTGGTATACTATCAAAGCATTAAATTTTAATTGGGTTTCATTTCCATCGATTTCATGGGTAACCAGTATCCATGGTAATGTTAAATGTAAACATGAATTAATGTTAAAGTTTGATGTTGAAATTTTTGTTTTTTATAGATTGAGTATTAACTTCTTTGAAAAAAACATGAAATTTTAACCCCACAAGTTCATATGACATTAAAGCATGCTTTGCATTTGAAAATATATTAGTGAAAAAGAAAGTGTAATATCAGATATTATTATTTGTTTGGTTTTACTCTTTTCAGGAGACTGAGACTAGATGAGTTTGACTATGGTGAGAAGTGTCTGGAGATAGCAAAAATGACAGAGGGTCTATCAGGGAGAGAAATTTCAAAACTAGCAGTAGCATGGCAGGTAGGTCTGATAAATCAAAATGATTTTTGGCATGGAATGGAGGTGTGATAAATCAAAATGAGTGTTTGCTTATATCTTTAGCATCATTCTGTGAGAAATAGTATGAATTCAAATGACAATTCCTCTATAATCATTAGTCATTTAGAAGATGCATCAATGATTGAAATTATTTATCACATAAATATCATGGTATTAGTGGAATGACACCCATTACATATTTTACTTCTGTTTTTCCACACCTGTAATGCAAACTTACTGCAGTGTTTGGCTGAAGGTTTCACACCTGTAATGTAAACTTACTGCAGTATATTTCATGTAATGTAAACTTATATATATTTCATGTAATGTAAACTACTGCAGTGTTTGGCTTATTCCACACCTGTAATGTAAACTTACTGCAGTGATTGGCTGACACACCTGTAATGTAAACTTACTGCAGTGATTGGCTGAAGGTTTTGTAAACACACCTGTAATGTAAACTTACTGCAGTGATTGGCTGAAGGTTTCACACCTGTAATGTAAACTTACTGCAGTGATTGGCTGAAGGTTTCACACCTGTAATGTAAACTTACTGCAGTGATTGGCTGAAGGTTTCACACCTGTAATGTAAACTTACTGCAGTGTTTGGCTTAAAGTTCCACACCTGTAATGTAAACTTACTGCAGTGATTGGCTGAAGGTTTCACACCTGTAATGTAAACTTACTGCAGTGATTGGCTGAAGGTTTCACACCTGTAATAAAATCTCACTGCAGTGATTGGCTTAAAGTTTCACACCTGTAACACAGTCTCACTGCAGTGTTTGGCTTAAAGTTTCACACCTGTAACACAATCTCACTGCAGTGTTTGGCTTAAAGTTTCACACCTGTAACACAGTCTCACTGCAGTGATTAGCTTAAAGTTTCACACCTGTAACACAGTCTCACTGCAGTGTTTGGCTTAAAGTTTCACACCTGTAACACAGTCTCACTGCAGTGATTGGCTTAAAGTTTCAAACCTGTAATACAATCTCATAACAGTGATTGGCAGAAGGTTTCACCTGAACCAGTAATACAATGCATTGCAGTGATCGACTGAAAGTTTCACACCTGTAATACAATCTCACTGCATTGATTTATTGATTTGTTGAAGGTTCCCATGCTTTTTGGTGTCATAAAAAAAAGAAATACATTTTCACTTTACCTCACCAGAAGCTCAATAAAATGATCATTTTTAAAGTCTTGTTTCATCTGTTATTGGAAACCGAGCGAGGTCCTCTCTTTATAACACAATGAAAAGACGTATTTCTTTAGCAATGAACTTGGTATAGACTTTGTTGAATAATACTTAGTTTCTTGGGAAAACATTTCTTCAAGGTTTTCAGTGTTGATACTTTGATTGTGTTTGTAGGCCAACGCTTATGCTTCTGAGACCGGCTTACTGACGGAGGCCATGATGGAGGAATGTGTAATGAATAGTGTCAGACAACATGCGAAAAAAGTTGTCTGGCAAGAGGAGAGTGCTGCTACGGAAATGAGGGAGATCGGTGAATCATATTCCTCGGAGAAAGATGCTTCCACAGGCATTTCCAGCATGAAGACAGATCCCACAAGTTAACACCGAGGACATATAGGATGTTTTAATTCACAGAAAAAATCATTTGTCAGGGCTTAGAAGATTTAGTTCTAGGATGTGACTGTTGGACCAAAGACTGGTATTTTGTTTGTATGTGATTGAGATACAGATGTTAATTAGGCTGTGTTATAACTACTAGGAAACACATGTAATTGATGTTGTTTTCTAGACAATGCTGGAATTTGTAGTTATATCATTGCATGAACAAAATAACACTGCCAAAAAATACCAGTCATTGTAGAATTTTCAGATTTTGTAGAATTATGTTTCAAATGAAATGACATTAATTTGAGTTTTATGATACTGCCATTTCATGGTCGGGAGCATTTAACATACCCTTGATCATCTGTCCATCATAATTTTGTTTCCTCTATTTACACGTCAACAGATGCAGATATAGAACTGTAGCTTGGTGTAGATGAGATGTTATAATGATTTACAGTTCTGATCTGATAAGGGTCTATTTATTTTTTCAGAGTTATGGCCCTTTAATAATAATTAAACAATAAAAACCTTTAAGAATTAAAACAAAAATCACAATAGGGTAAGGCTATTGCATTGTTGCTACCACTGGTAAGAATTTTGGAAAATCACAGAAAAAAAATTAATGTACAACACACCTTTTAACAAAGTCATTACATGTTCCTTGGTTGCTTTCTGGGACATTTGTGTTGATTTAGTTTAAGATTATCTCAAGAAAGTTCCTAAAATGTTTTTAACACAATTTGTTTTCCTGGTAGATTATTAGATGCTATTGAGCTGAAAATTGGCGGGAATGTTAAAAAAGGGAAGCAGACAAAATCCAATATGGCCACCATCTCAAAAAAACCACATTTTTACTTCTCAAATCCCACTGGTGTCTTAGAGCTGAAATTTTGCAGGAAGGTTGAGAAAATGAGAAGTATCATAATAGAAGTTCTCATATGGAAGATGCATTACTAGTCAACTTTGGAATAATTTTACTGAATTAGGCAACAATCAACAATCCATTTATAGAGGGCAGACTATGAGTAATGTCAGTGTGATGTGTGTGGAGATGGTGATTGTATTTTAAGATGAATCTTGCAATACATTTTGTGTGTGTGTTTGTAGAACATTTCATTCAGGGAATAAGAGTTTCTTGCCAGATTCCGTTTATTGCTAAAAACCTCTGAAGTGAATTCAATATCAAAGTTACCAAATTATTTTTTTTGTTACATGCAGTATTACTCTGCAAAATACTGAAAAAGTTATTGTTTTTACTTATTATGAATAGATTAGACGAGTCTGACTAATTGTTTTTGCATAAAATAAGGACAGACCTGCTGATTGTAATTTTGCTTCCTGATGAGCCTTGAATTAGCCTTTCATGTCCTGTATAAATATTTGCAGCTCTGTCTGTAGCACTGAAAAGTAGAGGCTTCTGCAGATTCGTATAACGTAACATGAGTTAAGTCAGAAAAATAATAGAAAACAAGAATGAATTTCTGTTTTATTTAATTAGGTATAAATTTTTACAGTTATAAATATAAAATTTTGATTGTGTTGACTATGACTTCATATATTTACTTATAAACAGTACTGTCTGTAACCAAACCTGAAAGTACACCTAACACACGATCGTTGCTGATAAAAATATTTTCCAGGAAACTCTAGATATTATATAAAGATATCTTGTATAATTGTAAAGTTATTCACATACAAGTATAGGTTTTCTTTGAATTTGTTAATTGTCGTCAGCATAATTACTCCAATTAACGCAAAATCCTGTATACATATTACATGTAGCAGTCCCTGTCCATTGTCTGTATCAAGCATTCCGATATTGAACTATAATTTACAGTATAATTAGAATGGTAGTTATGAAGCGACAATTTTGAGGATATTCTATGATTTAGAATACTTGTTTTGTTCATTATAACAGTACAGTAAAAGTAAATTGGTGTTGTTTTCTTATCACATGAACTGAACAACTATGGTTGAAGAAATTGACCATCTGGACAAAAGTCACTAAGTCAAGCTTTATAAAATGTCTGTAAACTGCTGATGTGCCATATTGAACACCATTGGATCAGACAACCTGGAATAAACATTGAAATACTCTGACTTGATATTAAGATAATCTCTCAACCATTTAAGTCATAGTGGGTAGTATTTGTCTGGTTTAATTATTGAACTCTTTCCCACAGTTGATCCGGAAGTTGAATTAACTAGAGAGGTCTTACATACAAAGTTAAGTTATCATGCTTAGAGCTGTTTTTTTTTTCCTGGAACAAATGAGAAAGTTAATCAGAAATAACATGTTGTTTTCAAATATGTGTGTGATGATAGGTATTGAAATTTTCCAAATTAACGTGTAATTGATTGATTTGAAAATTGTGTATAAATGTAGAGATACAATGTTGTATTCAAATATGATGTAATGTGAATAAAGATTGTGACAATGTTTTGTTTTTGCATAGTAAGTTCCTGGGTATTGACAGAAGTGCTTAATATTTTAAAGGGAAATTATAGGACTTTATCAACAAGAGGTCTGTATCACTCATCTAGTATTGTTTAACTGAATTTGCTTCATCCAAACAGGGATCTATAATACAGACCAAACCTAGGGGGCAGAGATGTATATTTGGTGAGAATGCCTCGAAATTGTAAAACTTTTGAATTTAGAACTTGTTACAATAAGCTATATTTCGGTCATGTGATTTGATGAAACTTTATCAAACTGATTTGTAATCAGTCTGTCTTGTTGTTTTTGTGTCGAAATTTTCATAGGTGTTAATTGGAATGAACCCCGACACACATTACTTGTATATGCATTCGATGATGTAAATATGCTGAATGTTTTCCTTGTATATTTTGGAAAAATACACGACACTCTACCGTCAGTATATTTGGCCTGATCATAATTCTGCCATCTTCAGTAATAATTCGTATCTACGAGAGTCACGGGTGCCTCGTCAGGGATTGTGTTATCTCCCTTTACATTCCTTGAGTTATCTCCCCTAAGTTGTGTCATATTTTTAATGATACATGATAATATGCTACTTAAGAATGTTCAAGTTATATCTGCGGATTATTTGCTGATTGATTTGTCATGTTACCATTCAATTTGCTGTTTTTTTAAATGGCCTAACAATTCAATCGTAAAACTACATGTTGTAAATAAAACAACAAAATGTCTATAGCCCTGATCAGTCATCTGTTTGTTGAAAAAGTCATTTTAAACTTTCACTCCACTATGCCACTTGCCAATTTTCATGATCTTGAGCCTTTCAGTTTTTGAACAAATGTTGTTTGACGATTTTAAGATACTTGAACCCATGACCTCAATGTGGGTCAAGGTCATTCATTTGAACAACCTTTAAATCATTTCATCGGAGCATGCTACAGAGCAAAACATGCTCATTTACGCTTTGGTTATTGAAAAAAAGTTGTTTGAAAATATTTATACATATATTCCATATACATTTGTATATGTAACCAAATGTCAATACCGTGGGCCTTTCGTTTATTGATTCCTTTTAAAGCAAATGTTGACGGCGGACACTAAATGTGCGCCTTCCGAAAGGTTGGCTAAAAATAAAACCCTTAATTAGTTACAGCAGTGAAAAAGTTGGATCCACGAGAGTCCACTCACGTGATATTTTGAGTTATCTCCCTTGCTCAAATCCCTTCCTCGTTGTATATATCTATATCGCACAACACGGAGATGCTTCTTTCTATAAAAAAATATTTTCTGGCTAAACAATTAATGCTGATTTGTACTCCGTGTTTCTTGTATATATTCAATAATTACTCCGTTTAAAATCAATTGACGTCACGAGGTCGTGGCGCTTTCTTGGAAACATACATGTTAGTCCATTTGTTCTCTGGTTTACAAATGGATCTTTTGTGTAAAATCACAGATCATTCAGTTTGAACACATTCTACAAGAGTTTTACGGATATAATTTCAATTTGATCTTTTTCTAAAACTGAAATTATCACCGTGATTGATGAAGGAATGTTTTCTACATTCAAAAGTTCAAAGAAACTACCTTTGGTGGCAGAGTTTTCCAATCTGTACTTGTAGTCTAGTATTCAGGTATCTTGACCGGAAGATCGACAAAAATGTTTTCCCAAAGTTTGATTTCTGATTTTCAGAGATTTTTTTTCTTGTCATAATATTACAGTAATTCAATAATTCAAAATCATAATTCCAATTATGTTGCTATGGTACGGAAGTACAGATGTTTATTTTTTTCCAAATATGTGTTCACGTTGTAGAAGTAGTGATATTATTTCCCATTGCGTGCGCACGTAATATATACTGTTTTTTTTTTCTAATACGTACACACGTAATTGGCAAAAATCCAGTTGTCACCTCTATACCTCCGTGCTAATGGTTGGAGGCTAGGCTTATTTTTGTGGTAAATGCTTGGATTACATGCTCGACAAATTCCGTCAAAACTCGGAGAAGCTGCGTGAATGGACACAACTGAGCGTACAGGCACCACCAATTAGGCTTTGTAACTGTTGTGTAGTGGTTGCCCATACTTTTTACATATTGCACATGGTTATTAATCTGCATTTGAAAGAAGACATGACATATGCTCATTTTCTAAAGCAACAAAATATTCTTCTGAAACCGTCTCCGAACTTTCTGTTCATGACACCGTAAATGACTGGATTACAAGCACTGTTTAAATATCCGATCAGAAGGGTTGTCATATGTACTCCCCTAGGGACCCCTGTCGGGACGAACATTGATAGTATCATACTTATACAGTAAGGAAACCAACAACAGAAAAAAGTGACCACCACAACGGCTAAAGCTATTGCAAGTCGAATCTCCTCAGCACGAGCTTTCCCGTGTTTGCTTTTTCTATGAATTCGAAAAATTCTGTGTTTTTTGACAGATTTTCCGCTCGCTTTCGTCACACACACATCATATTTAGTATTACTAGTAGTCGTGTTTTCATAGTTTGATTTCGATTCGTCCTCTGGTAAGTAAACCGTGATTAGGTCTGACGTAGACGTTTTCTCGAGGGTATTCCCCGAAGTGGTGTTTCCTGAAATAGAACCAACAGCTACGTTGTCTTTTGTTTTCCTCTTCGTTAGTTGCTCCTTTTCGTGTGACGTGATTGTTGAAGTGTCCTCGTCTTCTGGAATTGGTGCCGCAGCGACGTCATTCGGAACAGTTAAATACTTCTCCTTGGAATGTTTTGGTGACTCCGTATTATCCTCGTCGGATTTTTCCGGTATAGTCTGACAACTGATGGGTCCGTTGGATGACTTGGGGACCTGTGGAGCCAGTTTTCTCTTACTAGCTCTTACGGTCCTAAATATCAAGATATTGCAAACGGTCATAACACCAAACGGAACTCCGAAACAACAGCTGATCATGAAGAAAGCGTACGATGGTTCCACTGTCCAATCACAGAAGCAGAAAGATTGTACTTTTATGAAGTCGTACTCTGACCATCCGAATAGTGGAGGGAGCGATATCACAACCGACAGCGTCACACAACCTAGAACAAACAATAAAACAAAACCATGGTAAGTATTTGATACAAAATAGTATATTTGTGGAGAAACAGACTTTGCAATATCTTGATCAATTAAAAATGAAAATAAATTTAATAAAATTCATTTTCCCATGTTCAAGAATAAACATAAGCTGTTTTTAGCCTATATTACGACACCGCGAAGGAAGCGAATGTTTTTTTTTATATCGAAGGAAAACCCGGAAGATGGGGAAGGGGGAGGGAGAGCAATGTGCTAAGGGAAACGATTACCTCAACAGTCCCTATCCGTGATTGTTTGTATTAATGAAATCAGGAATAACAAAGGCTAGAAAAATAAATATTAAATTCAATTAATACAAAATGGCAAATAATTTTTATTGTGTAACTAAATGTAATGTTCATGTTTAAGTATTATACATATATATAATAGATTTGTATTCAATTATCCGTTTTACCCGTCTGTCTGGACTGTTGCAGATTTACTTTTTGGTTGCCAAAAGACATTTTTATAATGACGATGAAATCTACTTAGAACTGAATTTTTACCCCTAATTATTCGCTGATTCACTGTGCACGTGCTTTTAGCGATGTAATGAACGGAATTCGGTTTTTTTCAAAGTCTTCGAATGATTAAGCGTTGCCACAAACAAGACGTTGGACAAAATATTGCCCCATACAAACATCGGCCACCAATATGTCTTTAACACAAAGATCGCACCACACAAACACTGGCTCGCCATTCGTCCGTAACACAAAGATTGCACCCCACAAACACCATACGTCCGCAACACAAAGATAGCACCCCACAAACACTGGCTCTCCATACGTCCGTAACACAAAGATAGCACCCCACAAACACTGGCTCTCCATACGTCCGTAGCACAAAGACAGCACCCCACAAACACTGGCTCTCCATACGTCCGTAACACAAAGATTGCACCCCACAATCACCGGCCGTCCATACGTCCGCAACACAAAGATAGCACCCCACAAACACTGGCTCTCCATACGTCCGTAACACAAAGATAGCACCCCACAAACACTGGCTCTCCATACGTCCGTAGCACAAAGACAGCACCCCACAAACACTGGGTCTCCATACGTCCGTAACACAAAGATTGCACCCCACAATCACCGGTCGTCCATACGTCCGTAACACAAAGATTGTGTGTAAAATATCTTATATTCTTTGACAATGATTAAGAATATATTCTTCCCATGGTATAACACTTTAAAAAGTTGCACATGATTACATTTTAGAGGTCATAGGTCAAGTTTAAAGGTCAATGGCCACACCTCACCACTTTTGAAGAAAATACTGTTGTACAAAAAAGGTCTATGAATCCTTCAAAAGCTTAAGTTCATATGCACAATATAGCATTGAAATCAAGTTCTACACCTGATTATATTATAGTGGTCATTTTTCAAGCCTTTAACGGCCAAAGGTCACCTTGACAACTTTTGAATTAAAGACTTTGTGTCCATAATTCTTTGATCATAAACCCTTTTAACAAATTAGTCAAAAATAAAAAGGTCAGTGAGTGCTGTTTTTTTTTTCTACTTGATCCCGTGTTCACCATTTGATTTTAACTATCAAAAGACAGAAAGGAAGAAAGAAAATCAAAACTTCATAATAAAAAAAATTAACAAAACGTTATCGACTTAATAGAAAAAAACAGCGTAACGGAGATGGGATTGTGGCATTTAAAATGGTTGGTATTGCGCTGTGTTAGAGACCTGTAAAGTAAGCAATATCGTTTAAAACCCGATATCAATAAAGGAGATTGTAAATTACTTGTTAAATTGGTCGCGAACAACTAAAACAATCTCATCGGTTTCTCTTTTTCTGTTTTAATTACAACTGGAATGTATAATTAGCTGATTCATCAAAGAATTGATCTGGGAGCCACATTGTCATTTGATCGGGAGTCCCGACGATGTAAAAGATATTTTCAGGAAGGAAGCTGATTAAGGCTGTCCTGGAGCTGAAAGTAATTATCATCACGTGCCAAGTAGAGATTTGCACTAATGGGCAATTAGGTATTGGTGGATACACTACGTAACATCAAACACACGCTGTGACTGTTTTCAGTTACGGTACATATTTTTTTTCATTTTTTCTTTTCTCGACTGTTCAAATTTTCCCCATGTTTCTTTCCTCCGAATATTGTCACGCTTCCGAATATAAAATCTGATTGTATTAAAATCACCCGTGCATTGCTTCAACACCAGACTTGCAAACTCCGTTGTTTGTAGCAACCGGTAAGACATCTAGATGTAACGTTACAATACATATGTGTTTGTAAAAAGTAAATGAAAACATCATTTTCTCTTGGAGCTGTTTCGGTGCTGTTCGCGTTGTCAATGACACCGAAATGGCGCTACCAACTGCTTCAAGTATTATATGACTTTTTTTTCAATTGGACTTGTCATACTGTAATGTTTTTTTTTTTTAATTTGATGGGAAATGTAGTGTATAAATATATGGATTATTGTATATTTACTGACCCGTATCGAAGTGTATATGTAGTAACATAGTCTACCAAGGTCGCTGACTGGTACCCCTTTAATGTAACCCTAGTCTGAGTACTAATCGATGGAAGCACAGAAAGTAACAATAATCATAAATCCAAAAAATATTTTCGTTAACTAGAATGTCCATGATTCGTTTTAAACACCAAATATCATCCTGCATTCTTTATAGCAAATTAACATTAAAACATTTTGTGCGGAATGAAACATATAATAAATTTAGCAAAGCCTGATTAGAAGGGACTTGCTTTGTCCTTAAATGACCTTTCGTATCAGTGTGTATTCAGGTGTATTCTTGGCTATTGTAGATTCGTGTAAGGTGTGAAGGCGTGCTCAGTCATGCGTTATAAAATTGATAACCGTAATGTCTTTACTTATAATGTTTTTTTTGTTGATAGTACCATCGTTCTGTGAAATCATGACAGAAACAGGCTATGTGAAACTTTCAGCCATTAAACAACGGGTAACGAAAGATCAGAAGGGGATCGATAGATTTTATCAATGTGAGGAGTAAAATCTCACCTGGATCGATATACTTTCTCCAACTATGGGTGGAGAAAGATCACAAAAAGATCGATAGAATTTTTAAAAATGTGTGAAGGAAGATCACTAGACCGTCTCAAGCAATTGACGGAGACAGGTCACAAATAGATCGATAGACCGTCTCAAACAACGGACAGAGACAGGTCACACATAGATCGATAGACCGTCTCAAATAATTGACGCAGACAGGTCACACATAGATCGACAGACCGTCTCAAACAATTGACAAAGACAGGTCACACATAGATCGATAGACTGTCTGAAACAATGGATATAGACAGGTCACACATAGATCGATAGACCGTCGCAAACAATGGACGGAGACAGGTCACACGTAGATCGATAGACCGTCTCAAACAACGGATGGAGACAGGTCAAACAAAGATTGATAGACCGTCTCAAACAGAGGATGGAGACAGGTCACACATAGATCACTAGACCGTCTCAAACAATGGACGGAGACAGGTCACACATAGATCGATAGACTGTCTCAAACAATGGACGGAGACAGGTCACACATAGATCACTAGACCGTCTCAAACAATGGACGGAGACAGGTCACACATAGATCACTAGACCGTCTCAAACAATGGACGGAGACAGGTCACACGTAGATCGAATGGGCTCCTAAAATAGCATCATAACATCTACATAGCGGTCAATGGTTATAGGTCCTTAGTGTATTTTCTCGCACTGGAGTTTCCCAGTCAGGTGCTATAATCACGTAGTGTCAAAACTAGAAATCACACAAAGGCAATTGATAAATTGTCTTTAATATGTAGAATTTGATAAAGTGCAGCCGGAGAATGGGTCAAACTACATTGTGCAGCTGTATTGTCCTTCTAGGGACTAAAATATTGAAGTTCGTTATGTATCACTGATAAAAATCGGAATATGGCCACAAACATTAAAAAAACTGTGACGTATAAACAAGTGTTTAGGAAGCGTAGATAATACAGTCTAGAAATGGAAAATTAATTGCATTGATCCTACAGCTGAGTACAGAATTGTTCCTGGTGGTCATTACAAAAATAAGTATGTTTTAACATAACGTACGTGAAGGTCAAGTATAGTCACTAATACAATAATGGTCACTTTGCCGACTTTAATTTGACGATGATTAAACTTCCGTCCCTAAGTAGCACGTTCTAGGTTAGCGAGGTCCCCACTAATGGATTCACTATGTCAGAGATAGCTACACTCCTATAATCCAACAAATACCACAAAGTCACGTGTTATTTATTTCTCGAACTCAACTTGAAATTCAGAAGGTATTGTTTATTGTGGATAGTGGAAAAATAAAGACTGAAAAGCGCGAATGAAGGACGATGAAAATAAGTATCCATGTAAAAGAAAGCAAAATACAGTATGTTCATAGAATGTATCCCTTTAAAATAGGAGGAATAAATAAAGACAAAGATTCCGGGACAATGGATATCCCTCTAACAGGATGAATAGAATATTACAAGATTCCGGGCCAATGAATAGCCCTCTAACAGAAGGAATAAATAAAGACAAGATTCCGGGCCAATGAATAGCCCTCTAACAGAAGGGATAAATAAAGACAAATTTCCGGGCCAATGAATAGCCCTCTAACAGGATGAGTAGAATATTACAAGATTCCGGGCCAATGAATAGCCCTCTAACAGGATGAATAGAATATTACAAGATTCCGGGCCCATGAATAGCCCTCTAACAGGATGAATAGAATATTACAAGATTCCGGGCCCATGAATAGCCCTCTAACAGGAAGAATAAGATATTACAAGATTCCGGGCCAATGAATAGCCCTCTAACAGGATGAATAGAATATTACAAGATTCCGGGCCCATGAATAGCCCTCTAACAGGAAGAATAAGATATTACAAGATTCCGGGCCCATGAATAGCCCTCTAACAGGATGAATAAATTAAGACAAGATTCCGCGA